TGAGTTTGAGAAAATACCTTAGTATTTTTTCTAGTGTTTGCCAACATTTTCATGCACACTGTTTGCTTGTTTGTACTATCATTTTATTTTATATTCTTCAGATGCCCTTTACCTTTGCCAGTTTTGAATCATTTGTTTTAAGGGCATCTGAGGGTTGGTTCCAGAACTTAATTAATATGAAAGTAAATACCGTGGTACTATTCCGTCATAGGTTATGTTAATACGTGTATAACATTTTGTTCTGATAGAGGTGGCATACAGGAAAAGAAACAATACTAGATATCACTTTAAAGGAATAAAATAGCTTCATCTTGTAGGTGTATTTTATTTAAGGATCACTAATTCATGTCTGATATGGTGAAAGTTATTCATATTCTGTTTGACTGTAATTTTTCATATTTTCAACTTCTATCCAGCTTAGTCAATTTTAATTAAATTTTGTGCAAAGCATACCCCAGGAAGGGGGGATGGAGTGTCAAGGGTGTCTCTGTCCCTGTCAATATAATTTCAAAGCAGTTAGTAAGGTTTGGGTCAATTTTAAATCCTCTTTAGCAGAACCATTTGGCTAAAAACAATACTAATGTGAAAGCTTTATCATTAAGTGTAGAGATGTTTTTGAAGATTATGTACCCCTAATGTACTGATAGTGTTACATTAGAAGTCTAAAATTTGCAAGGAATTGGTGTAAAATCTTTTTAAAATCTCCTTCTTAACAACCAGAAACTAACAAACTGTCTAATTAATATGCAACATCGTTTTGTGTGTTGAATGATGATTCCATTTTGATAAAATTATGGCAGATGGGGGGTAGGATGAAGATGCAGTTAGACATAGAAGAAACAAAAAAGAGTTGATAGAATTTAGTTTTTCTTCCATTTTATTTATCAATACATATTTCTGAATAAGAAATATACTTCTACTTCTTGGTTGGGTTTGATCAACATAAAGGGTGATCTTACTGTAGTCAAGAAAAACATGTTTTATACGGCAAAGAAATGCCTTTATCTAATTGCAGAATGTATAAAAAGGACAGAGGCAGATTTGAAGGAGATGCGTGAAATGAGGAATATTTCAAAGATTGCCTGAGCATAACCACTGCTACTGGATAAACATATGGCAATATAAAAGAGCAGGGTCAATGGAGGTATCACACAGTATAGGCCATGAGAGAGCCTGAAGAAGAAAGTATGGAAGAGAAACAAAAATAAAACCATTTTTAACTTTATTGAAATATAGGATCAAAGCCTTACATGTAAAATTTGGGCATGTAATGACTTTTCTCTTGATCTAAGACTTATAACAGTGATGATTTGATTTAATATCTTTATCCCTATATTTCGAAAAGATTAGGACATAGTGCATCAATTATTTTAAAGTTTTGATACAACGAATTCATTCATTGTACTTGTAACTGAGTTTTCTGGTGCGACATTGTTTAATCGGCTTCAAAACTAAGTTTGTGATTTCCAAACCAGATTAATGAGATACATGTAATATCTTTTAACATCGGTGACTATTAAATCCATTCTTTTACATCTCAGAAGTATTTTTATTATTACAGGGAAAATATGCATTGTACATGTATCTGTAATAAACAGGATTATAGAAATTTTCCATATAATACAACACAATCTTAGCAACTGAAGGCAAATATTTTATCAAGGGTGTGATCTATTTATCAATATGGTTTTCAGCATCTTGCTCTACCTGTAATGACTTGCTCCAAGTTCCATTATTTAAATTTAAATTTTGCAAACATGGTTATAAAATTCTTTAAAAGCCAAATAGTTTAGGCACAAAATGCTTATATATTTCCTATCATTTGTAAAGTGTACACTGAATGAGATGTGGAATGTTAGAATTAAAGTATTAAATATGTTTCGGACTTATGTATGCTTATGCAGATAAATTTGAATTCAACTAGGGAAGGTAAATGTCATACTTATTGGGTTTGCAATCTAATGCAAGAGTATAAATATCCAAGACAAATTTGACAATTTTAACGAAGGGTATAAGTAACCCAAGAAGAACTGGACAAGTAAACATTACCTGTTAGGTTTTATTCTAATGTTGGGATGTAATATCCAAGAGGAGTTGAACCAATGTCTATTACCTATTGGGTTTTCTTTCTTATGAAAAAAAAATTGAGTAACCCAAGAAGAATGTCCAATACCTTTTAATTTATATACTATTGAAGGGATGAAGATATCCAAGAAGAATTGGACAGGTGTCCATTACATGTTGGGTAGTATTCTTATGAGGAGATTCTCAAGGAACCCAAGAATTAAACAAGTGTCCATTGCCTGTTGGGTGGGATGTAGATATCCAAGAGGAATTGGACGGATGTCCATTACCTGTTGGGTGGTATTCTGATGAAACAATTCAAGAAACCCAAGAAGAATTAGACAAGTGTCCATTACCTGTTGGGTGAGATGTAGATATCCAAGAGGAGTTGGACAGGTGTCCATTACCTGTTGGGTGGTATTCTGATGAAACAATTCAAGAAATCCAAGAAGAATTGGACAAGTGTCCATTACCTGTTGGGTGAGATGTAGATATCCAAGAAGAATTGGACAGGTGTCCATTACATGTTGGGTAGTATTCTTATGAGGAGATTCTCAAGAAACCCAAGAATTAAACAAGTGTCCATTGCCTGTTGGGTGGGATGTAGATATCCAAGAGGAATTGGACGGATGTCCATTACCTGTTGGGTGGTATTCTGATGAAACAATTCAAGAAACCCAAGAAGAATTAGACAAGTGCCCATTGCTTGTTGGGTGAGATGTAGATATCCAACAGGAGTTGGACAGATGTCCATTACCTGTTGCGTGGTATTCTTATTAAGCAATTCAAGAAACCCAAGAAGAATTGGACAAGTGTCCATTACCTGTTGGGTGGTATGTAGATATCCAAGGGGAGTTGGACAGATGTCATTACCTGTTGGGTGGTATTTTGATGAAACAATTCAAGAAATCCAAGAAGAATTGGACAAGTGTCCATTACCTGTTGGGTGAGATGTAGATATCCAAGAAGAATTGGACAGGTGTCCATTACATGTTGGGTGGTATTTTGATGAAACAATTCAAGAAACCCAAGAAGAATTGGACAAGTGTCCATTACCTGTTGGGTGGTATGTAGATATTCAAGAGGAGTTGGACAGGTGTCCATTACCTGTTGGGTTGTATTTTGATGATGCAATTCAAGAAACCCAAGAATTAGACAAGTGTCCATTGCTTGTTGGGTGGTATGTAGATATCCAAGAGGAGTTTGACAGATGTCCATTACTTGTTGGGTGGTATTCTGATGAAACAATTCAAGAAACCCAAGAAGAATTGGACAAGTGTCCATTACCTGTTGGGTGGTATGTAGATATCCAAGAGGAGTTGGACAGGTGTCCATTACCTGTTGGGTTGTATTTTGATGATGCAATTCAAGAAACCCAAGAATTAGACAAGTGTCCATTGCTTGTTGGGTGGTATGTAGATATCCAAGAGGAGTTTGACAGATGTCCATTACTTGTTGGGTGGTATTCTGATGAAACAATTCAAGAAACCCAAGAAGAATTGGACAAGTGTCCATTACCTGTTGGGTGGTATGTAGATATCCAAGAGGAGTTGGACGGGTGTCCATTACCTGTTGGGTTGTATTTTGATGATGCAATTCAAGAAACTCAAGAATTAGAAAAGTGTCCATTGCCTGTTGGGTGGGATGTAGATATCCAAGAGGAGTTGGACAGGTGTCCATTACCTGTAGGGTTGTATTTTGATGAGGAGATTCAAGAAACCCAAAAAGAATTGGACAAGTATCTATTTCCTGTTGGGTGGGATGTAGATATCCAAGAGGATTTGGACAGATGTCCATTACCTGTTGGGTGGTATTCTGATGAAGCAATTCAAGAAACCCAAGAAGAATTGGACAAGTGTCCATTACCTGTTGGGTGGGATGTAGATATCCAAGTGGAGTTGGACAGGTGTCCATTACCTGTTGGGTTGTATTTTGATGAGGAGATTCAAGAAACCCAAATAGCATTGGACAATGTACACATGTTCAATTGTTCTTTGGTAGTTTAATCCCTTCATCAAAATACAACCCAACAGGCATTGGACACCTGTCCAATGCCTGTTGGATACCTTCATTCTGCCCAACATGTAATGGGCATTTGCTTATTATTAATTGGTCATGACTCAAAAAGGCTTCCCCTTAAATACTTATTTTTGTTATTCAAGAAAGGTTGAACAGAGTCTGAGATGTGTTGAGTTGTGTTTGCACAATTCATTTTTTTTTTGCACTTAGGTATTCATATATTTTAATATTAGATATTTTGAAATATACAGGTGTATATCCTTATTGCTAAGAATAAATTAGTTAGGTGTTACAATAAAAGAGCTATATCACAGAAATTGTCAAAAATATGGGTTCAAAACCAAAGGTTTTCAGTCTTGTCTGAATTTACCAGCAAATATTAAATATATAATAAATTTGGAATGAATAAAAAAACAATAAGAAAAAACCCAATAAAATACGGACACGAGGATTAATATCCAATAAGATTTGAACAGTATCTACCCAAATAATGCTCTCTCGTGTGTACACTTTTTTTGTATCCAATAAGCAGTATCCAATAGGACTTGGACTTGATGTACCCAATATATAACCAAATGTGTGTCCGTCCGTCCGTCCGTCCGTCCGTCTGTCTGTCTGTCTGTCCGTCCGTCTGTTACGCTTTGGGGTACCCATCTCTTATCCGCAACTCCTCTCATACCATTGAATGAAATTTGATGAAACTTTCACAGAATCTTTATTACATATTGCCATTGTGCACCTCCTATTTTACTTTTTGATCTGACACATATTTTGGGTTTCCCGGCCACAGGAAAACATGGACTTTTTCACCAGTTATAACCATATGGGAGGCGGGGGGTATCATTTAGTGAGCTCAAGCTCACAGTACCTCTAGTCTTATTCATACATTTTTAAGCTATAGACATATGCTCATTTACCTGTTGTAAAAGTTGAACAGCCTTTGAATTCATTACAATCTAAGGGACATCCAGTTGTAACATTGCAGAAATCTTCAGTACACTCACATTCCTTTTGACATTGGAATCCATATGCAGGATATGGACAGGAAACCACACAATTAGGTCCTATAAAACCGTCAGTACACTCTGCAATAAAAAATGACTTAATATCCTGTAATAGTATGCCCTGATAGATGATAGGTTTAGATTTATTTCCAGTAAACTAAAATAATTAAGAAGATGATACTTGACTTAACTAAGATGTTAATATGAGAATGATTACACTGTGTAATCCACGCAATATACGTACTAATACAATCATTGATCTCTGAGGAGAACTGGTACCCGTCACAACAGCCTCTAAACAATGGATATATAAACATAAAAATGTATGATAAGGCCAAATTCCTATTGTATATACTACATTAATATTCCAGGCAGAATAAATATGTAAGAATTGTTTGTGAAGCTAATGGATGGCGTTTGATAGACGGTGGACATAATGTAAACAGGTTATTTTCGCCCCCTGTTATTTTCGCCAATTTGCACTAGCAAACAATTTAGCCCCGTTTTAAATTCGCGCAGTCATAGTTCTGTTTACGAAATTATGTTGTGCAATTTGAATTCACCTCCTTTTAAATTTGCCCACTCAAGAAGAGGGCGAAAGGGATGAAAATAAAACGGGAGCGAAAATGTCCCTGTATACAGTATATTACAGGTTCAGTCTTCTCTTCTTGTACATGTATAACCATGATTGGTCACAGAAATGTTAATTCATGCCGTGAAAGGTATGTTAGCCCGGCTTCTGCTTGATTTTTGCATGTTTGTTCTTTTCTTTAAGTGGTTTGTAATGGTGGATTCTTTGTATTTGCCTAAATTGAACCGAATCTGCAATCGTACTACATTTAGTTGTTGCGTAATGTGGATGTTGACTGAACAGTTAAAGTTCAGATATGTATTGAACAGTTGAAATCCAAACGAGTTGAAGTTTGGTATTTGTATTGAACAGTTGAATTTGAACATTGAGTTGTGATATTGATATGTTGATGTTGTGTTGTTGATATGTTGTGGCTTGCCCAAGTTGAAATGGCAGCCAAATTTAAATTTAAGATTCAAAGCCGTGCCCACTTATACGCCATAGTTAGGATGTAATAAATTCATTAAGTTTAGAATTTTGTGTTGTTGCCTTTTCTTCGATAACATAGTGTTACTTAACTACCAGCACCTAGAACTTCAACTTTGATAAGAACAGGGAAATTATCACTAATTAATGGCTCATGCAAAAAAAAAAAAAAACAAAAAACAAAACAAAACAAAACAAAACAAAAAAAAACATTTCCTCTGTCAAACTGGCTTGTGAGAATATCTTAATTTTTTTTGTAGGTATTTAACTATGAATACATGTTATTATGTAGACACTGGCTGACAGTGTATTATTCATACATTCAAAACAATACTATATCGTATTTCTAAAGGAAAGTAAATCAATTCTATTTTTTTATAATTCACCAAAATTGAAATGTGTTCGGAAGGAAGCACTTAAAACTAATGAATTGGTTTATAATTAAATAATTTCCCAGCTAAATAGCACTGTTAAATTATATTTGAGGCATCTTTACTTTCGTTATACTTTAAATCTTATATCTAACAAATAAGAATTATACTGTCGATATTGCATGAATGACATGTTTGAAGAATCTTATGCATGGTGGAAAACATCTGACAAATGCTTTGATTCCTAATCCATAAAAAATAGTTTTGTATTTTCCTACAATTAAATGCTAGTGACAATTACTCTGACTGAAGCCGTTGGTGAAACTCCAATGGGCTGGATTTAGAATATTTCTGTCCTTGTATTTTATAATTTAGGGTTTTCCACTGTATTTGTTGATAAAGGATAAGCAATAAAAATTAATTAGCTCTACTGTGTATGTGTGTTGAATGGAATCCGTAGCCTCGAGTTTAGATGACTAATACAGTTAATGTAGTTAACACCAAAGAAAATTGGCATTATGAAATACATCACCTTCTACTGGTCAGCTCTATTATTCACGATGTGTTTAAAAAAAACATGTCATGACTTGTGAGGTATATTAAACAAGTAAAGATCATCAAATCAATTCCATAATTAAAGTTTTTATTTAAATACTTGCATCCCTTTTTTTCATCGATTACTGCGCTACTTGTAGAAAAAGATTGAGACATAAAGTATGCCTTTAGTGTTTGAAATACTCACACAAACTGTACACTGTTTATATTTATGTCTACTTGGCCTACCCTACACTAAATCATGAAAGTACTAAATCTTATCCGATACTCCCAAACCCTGTATATTGTACATTTTACATTTAGATGGTCTCAGATGCATCACTCTCTGGGTAATATACTCTTCAATTGGAGACCCTATCCAATATATACTTTTTTCAAAAGAATTTAACCCAAGAGCTCGACATTGTCTTGCAATAAAATCCCTTTGTTCCACATATTCTGAATGTGTTGCATGTTTCTCACAAATTTATGAGCTATGAATTTGTATGTTTAAATTCAGTAAAATTTTACATGTAAACCTAGGTGTTATAGTATTCACATTTGGTGTTAATATTCCGTGTTAAAACTCCCCAGCTCTCACCATTTTATAAATTAAAAATATCAAGACTGTGGTAAAGCTTATTTTATAACGATAAGTTATTTTAACTTGATAAGCTTAAATTCAAATATGCACAAAAAATCAGACTACAGAAAAGTATTTTAGCCGTATTATATACGAGTATATTTTGTTTCTTGGCAAGTAAATCATAGATATAGATATTTCTTGTTCACACAAAACACTACAGACTTTAAATACTTTCCCAAGGCTAACAGAAAAGTTCGTAAATAAGCAGTTAACATGAATGATAAAACCTTACACTAATTGATCAATGATCAGTCTGTTTCCGTACTTGTAATTAACAATTCTATTTCCTATGTTTACCAAAACCCTAAACTGATTTTTAATTATACACCAAATAAATTAATTAGATTAATTAATTAATTAAATCTTTGCTACTAGTGAAGATAGCTTTAGAAGTGACGAATGTTAGAGAAGAATAAAATGGATTATGTGCTAAAGGGGCTTGTCTTTGATTCAAATTGTACTGTGTAAAATATATTGTATGTTATGTGCACATAGAAAAATTATTAGCTCTCAATGAGTACCTGAGCTACATTTGATAGGCACTGAATTTGAGGTTTATTCAATTTCCAAAGGAAACAAGGGACATTAACACGATTGAGAAGCCCTGAATTTAATTTTTCCCAGTACTTTTGTGGTTAAAAAACACCCATTATCTTTGTCCTGTTGGTTGATTGTGCTGTTTTTTTTTAGGTGGGGCAGTATTTCAGCCAAATCTGAACTCAAACCTCAACTTTTCTGCTGTCAAGCACCCTTCCACGTTTTTGTACAATGTAACATATGAAAATGCCCTTTATGGAAAATTAAATTTATCGATTATAATGTTTTGCTAAGGTTTTCTGCACCCCAACCCTCCCCCATTTTTTAAAAAAGATTTTTTTCTTTCGTAGAAACTAAGATTAATGCACGATTGATAAATATTACAACAACAATTCATAAATTTTCCTTAAATATACCAAATACAACTGGTCGGATTATGATATTCAGTATAGGCTCAACAAATCTTACACACCTCTTTGAGTTGGGATACTGTTGATGCAGACCTATGGATAATCTATATGCAATCGCCCACTGCTCCTGCTAACCCTATATCACACCAGAAGTCATTGCATCCCCGCAACAAATGCTAATATTGACTCGCTCGTTTCCAATTTTATTAATGAACAAAGTTTACTTAATAGCCCAACATTTTTGGAAGAAAACAATTCTTTAAACTTGATAATATTGATGCTAATATTGACTCGCTCGTTTCCAATTTTATTAAAGCTATATATGCCGTATTAGTGTTTTATTTTAAAAGTAATAAATATATGTGGTGTCTTATCAAGTTATATAAGTTATATCCTTTCTGCAAATAAGACAATTCCACTCCATCACTTTTAAAAGTTATGAAATATTATTTGGTAAAAATTATTTTCTCTCCGTGTCGGATAAAAAACCGCCTCTTATTGAAATATTCATGATCAAGTTGTCTCGCATGTTTACACCAAACAATGGTCCAATCTCGTGAATGAACCGAAAAGCATGATGGTCTACTACGTTTTTACTACAAACACGTGAGTTAGGGATTGTCAATATTGAGAGCACCTCAGAGTTGGTTGCTTTTTGTACCGAGGAATAATCACGTGCAATTGTCTTTTCAATGGACATTTTCGGCTGGGTGAACTTCTACAGATGTCAGCGACTATGGATAAAGAAGTGTGGAAATCATGTTGTGCCAAAATGAAATAACCAATACAAACAAATGATATAATTTGATCAATCAAAATGGTAATTAGATACATTCGATTCTGTATTTCTTAATGGTTCAAAACAACAAAAAGTATTCCACAGAATATCATGTATAGATCTGCACAATATACCGAATGCCAAAACCAGAATACTACTAAATAATATAATAATATTCTTTACATATGAACCACAGTATTTCTGACCCCTTGAAAATAATATAAACAAGAGGCCCAGGGGCCACAGCGCTCACCTGAGCACATCAGCTCGGAAAAAACACATATCAGATCAGAACTGAAAGTTTACTGAAGGGGGGGGGGCTTGAATTTTAACCACCAAGGGGATTATAATTTGAACGAACTAGAATCTACATTACCTGAGGATGACTATAACTATTACTAATCCTGGCTTTGAAGTACTTGAAAAGAAGATTTAAAAATGTTTCCCTATATATTTCTATGTAAAACTTTGGTTGGCCATTTTTGCCACACCCTTACCCCGGGGTCATGACTTGAACAAACTTGAATCTACACTACCTGGGGATAATTCCACATGAGTTTCATCTTTCCTGGCCCAGTGGATCTTGAGAAGAAGATTTTTTAAGATTTTTCCTATATATTCCTATGTAAAACTTTGATCGGCCATTTTGGCCCCGCCCTACCTCCGGGGGTCATGACTTGAACAAACTTGAATCTACACTACCTGAGGATGATTCCACATGAGTTTCATTTTTCCTGGCCCAGTGGTTCTTGAGAAGAAAATTTTAAAAGATTTTTCCTATATATTCCTATGTAAAATTTTGATCGGCCATTTTGGCCCCGCCTTACCCAAGGGGGTCATGACATGAACAAACTTAAATCTACACTACCTGAGGATGATTCCACATGAGTTTCATCTTTCCTGGACTAGTGGTTCTTGAGAAGAAGATTTTTTAAAAATGCCAATAATTTTTTCTCTAATTCACGATTATCTCCCCTTGGAAAAGGGCGTGGCCCTTTATTTGAATAAACTTGAATCCCCTTTACCCAAGGATACTTTGTGCCAAGTTTGGTTGAAATTGGCCCAGTGGTTCTTGAGGAGAAGATGAAAATGTGAAAAGTTAACGACGACGACGACAACGACAACAACGACGACAGACGACGGACAAATTTTGATCAGAAAAGCTCACTTGAGCCTTCGGCTCAGGTGAGCTAAAAATCTTGCAAGTAGGTTATCAGCATTGGCTCGGGCTAATTCGAAAGTGAAATTTGGAGTTTGGCAGTATTGTAGTGAATGAGTAAAATTTAGTAGTGAAAGATATTGGAACCTATTTTACTTGTCAGATTTCTTCGAGCTAGTTAATTCTTATTCTAACTGTTCTATTCCCCCACCCTCTTTAAAAAAAAAAACGATGCTACCTACCTAATTTTTCTAAATGGTGTTCATCGAAATGCTAGGTTGTGCCCTCAGACTGGAATAGTTTTTAGAGGCCTGGAATTCCTGGACCAATTTTATTTTATTAGCCCAACTATATTTCTTAGAAGGCAAGATGTATGGTATGTAAGTTTCATCTACATATGTTATGTAGTTCATATTAAAAAACCCAAAAGGGGTAATTGACGATATCCCATTAAGGGTGTAAACATAGCAGTTTAAATTACTTTCCATACATTGTACTTGACATAAAATATTTTTTGCGCATAATGCGCTCCATACTGAAGATCCGTACATGTTCACCCAACCGAAAATGCCCACTAGCAG